GGGGGGATTTAGGAATTGGGAAATGGATTTTCTTTTTCTTTCTTTTTTCTTTTTTTTTGTAATACTTACCTTGTAGTTTCATGTCACTTTTAAAAATCTTTCCTGTTATTATATGGAAATTTCATGCATATACAGGGATGTGAATCAATGGCCCTATTCCAGTGATGCAAGTTCCCTTTGATAATGCCATTGTCAAAGTTTCAAAGGTGCTTTTGAGTATAGAAAGGAAATTTTTGAGGTTAAGTTTTGGGGGCAAGATATTTAGACATCTGCATTGCTTTGCAAGGAGAAAGGGTAGCAGGAGAACAGGATTTCTGCTTTTGAGAAGAAGACAGAATAAAGAGAATAGCAGGAAGGGAAAAAGTGCATAACTGGGTAATATGACTTAAAAATCAAAGAATTCTGAAGAAAAGGATGTCTAATGTTCAAGTGTAATGATCTTCACATCCTGAAACATTCAGTTAAGTCAGCTACGCATCGGAAGAATCCTCGTATGGATGATTTGTTGTTACAACTGCATCAAGGAACAAGCCCGATTCCCACATTTGAGTCTATAGCCAGAGTAAAATAAAAGAACAGCTGTAGGGCGAAGAGTGGGGAATGGAATTCCGAAGAAGCAGGAAGCCAGAGTCACAGGTGAGCCTTAGGATGTGAGATTCTGGGAAGTTGCCAAAATCCTGAGGAGTGCTGTGAAATGAAGGGCCAAGACATCTTATCTAGACAGCAAGGAGCAAAGAGACCTAGTTGACATCTGGCTTATGCATATAAGTGTACATAATCAAAGGTCTGGAAAATATTAACTGTAGTTATTGCTGTGTGGTGGGATCATAAAATAGGATTATTTTCTTCTTTCTTTCAAACTAATATGTTGCTTGTATTTTCTATCCCATATCATTAAAATTAGGGAAAATTTTGCTTGCTTTGGCATCACGTATAATAATTAGGGGAAATAAAGTTCATTTGAGTTTAAAATAAAAGCAAGAGGGAAAATATAATCAGAATTAAGAAAGTCAGGGAGGCTGGGTGTGGTAGCACATGCCTGTAATCTCAGCACTCTGAGAGGCTGAGGCAGGAGGATCACAAATGAGCCCAACCTGGATAACTGAGCAGCTAAGAAAGATTCTGCCTCAAAATAAATAAAAAAGTAGTGGAAGGCTGGTGATATAGCTCACTGCAAAGGTCCTAGGTTCAATCCCTAGTAGTGAGAGAGAGGTGGGGAGAGGAAGAACAAATCAGGGAAACAGAAATCTCAGATGCAATGAGCTGTCCTGTTGCCTGTCTCATTTTTCAATATAAAATAACATATTTCTATTTTGTTTAATGTAGCATTAAACTGCTCACAAGAGTAACTCCCTTATAACCCCCAAGAGGCCCCATCCCCCACTACCACCACACTGAGAATTCAGATTCCAACGCATGGTCTTTGGGGGGCTTACATTCAAGCCACAGCATACATTTCTGATATTTGGAACACGGGAGCAATTTTCCCATAGGGAAAGACAGATGACATAGTGGTGAACTTGTTGTCTAGTCCCAACCTTCCAATTGCTCTTCAAGTTCCCCAGAACCTGATGCCTGCTCCCCTCTACCCCCCATCACTGCACTCTAGCACTGGAAAAACAAGAGCGCTGGACCAATGCTACCATGGCAGCCATGGAGACCAGCTGGGTAGGGGGTCCTCCAGCGATAGAAAATGATCGACAGGTGGTGCTGTAGGTATGAATGGACAGGTACTATTTGAGGGAGCTACTGAGAGGTTCCCATAGATGGAGGTTGAGATGTTTCTTTGACAAAGGCCTTTTCCCCTGCCTTTATCAGAAATATGGGCTCAGGTGGGGACCAGCTGGTGTCCTGCCTCCTCCTGCAGAGAGAGTTGGGTCCAGACTGTAGAGTCTACTTTACCAAGGCAGTCTATCAATCTGAGAAGAGAAGAGGAGGGAGGAATGAGAGAAAAACAGTACAGAGCCATGATGGCTTCGATCCAAAAGAAAAACACATAGCTTCAGGGAGATAATGTCCAAATCATATGGTGGCCAGTGTCTGGGCTCTGGAGTCTGCTCACCTGAATTTGATGATGGCATTGCCATTGACTAACCATATACAAGTTTCTTAATCAAACTCACTTGTAAAATAGTGCTCATCAGAGGGCCTGCCTCAGGGGTTATTGTCAACATGAAATAAACTCATTCAAGAAAACAAAACAAAAATAAATAAAAGGAACCCCAATCAAAGAAGTTAGAGCAATGTGAAATTAAGCAAAATGAGGCAAATTCATTTTTTATAGGTGTTTTCCAACTACCCTGAATGCTTTGGTAGGTCTTCAGAATTGTGTTACAGGATAATATATTCCCCAAACCAATGTGGCTATGGAAAAGGTTTTAGATAGGAAATATTTTCCTTTTTAATGAAAAATATAAATATTTAATGGAAGTTTCTCTACCCTATTGCCATTTGCTGAAATGTTCAAATATATTTGACTGTATAAAATATTATGAGATGAATAAAGGCCATACCCCCTGCCTTTATCAGAAACATAGGCTCTGTATAGGGACTGGTAAAATATGATTAAAGTATATTTCTATACAAACATTTGATGCTAACAGTAGAGCTTATAGTAAGCAAAGTCTAAAAATAATGACCCACTGGAAACTAGGTGAGAGACTTTCTGGATCTTGGATACGTGTGGGGTGCGTGTGTGTGTGCATGTGTGTGTGAGGTGTGTTTTTGTGTGTAAGGGTATGTTTCAATAGGGGCATCATAGCTTTTAATTTTATACTTTCACTGTCACCTGGATTTGATTCATGTGAAGCACAATATCAGCAAGGTGACAAAAGGATTGCTCTACAGAAATAATTCTGATACGAGGTGAATAGAATGAACAGATGTAGGGGGAAGATATGGGGGAAAATAGATTGTAAGAGAAACACTAAAGTAGTAATTTCCCAGTAGACAAAGTTCATGGCTGTGGCAGGAAAATAAGAGGAACAGGATTTGGGACACTCGTTTACAAACAAATAAAACATTTTTTTTTCTTTAATGGTTTTAGGTTTTTACAGAGTCCTAAAGGTAGTTTAGAGTTTTCATGAGCCCCAGGTTATTTCTGTTATCATGAGCATTATTTCATTATCATGATACATTTGTCAAAATTAATGAACTAATGTAGATACATTACCATTAATCATCATCTATATTGTATTCAAATTCTCCACTTCCTGTCTTTTTGTTTTTTGGTTCACTCCAGGATACCACATTACATTTAGTTGCCATAGGTCTTCTTGGCTATAACAGTTTCTCAGACTTTCCTTGGTTTTGACAGCTTTGAGGAGTATTGGCCAGGAATTTTATAGAATGTCCTTTGATTGGTATTTGTAGGATGCATTTTTCAAGATACATTGGTGTTAATTTGGCACAAATAAGTTCATAGAGATAAAGTACCATTTTCAGCACAATATATCTTGAAAGCTGACAAGGAGAGGGTGGTAAAGACAATTACTATGTGTACACCAAAACCTTTTTCTATTTTTGTTAAACACATAACTCAAGTATATTCTTTTTTTTTTTTTTTTTTCTTTTTTCAGACAGGGTCTCACTATGTAGTTGAGACTGAGACTGGCCTGGAACTCACTATGTAATCCAGGCTGGTCTCAAATTCACAGCGATCCTCCTGCCTCAGCTTCCAGAGTGCTGGGATTACAGGTGTGCGCCACCATGCCCAGCCTTCAGTTATATTCTTGATCCCCAGTTGATGTTAAGTGAGGCCATGATATTGGATTCAGGCAAACAAAATCCTTAGGCTTTGTCCATAACGAATTTCCTAATGGATTTTCACAGTACTTTCTCATTCCTTGCCTGCTGGTCTAACCACACAGATCTTAGCAGAGGAATATGAGACCCTAGCATACAGCAGAACAACCAGAAAGAAGGATCCTGAGTCCTTGGAACAGACCCTAGAGACCCTGTAGTGTGCTGAGATGAGAAAGAATAAACCTTTGTTATGCTAAGCAATGAAGTTTGGGAGAGGAAATTAACCTTCTTTGAATAATACCAAAATAATCTGGGTGAAATTCTATACAGATTGAGAACATCCCAGTTTTTGTGCACACAAACTCCTCCCCATCTAGCCTGAGTATTTTCCAAAAAAAGCCAGTTCTCTCAGAACAGGGAGAACAAATTTTCCTAGTACCCACTCTTTTTAGCAAGTCTTTCTACACTGACAGAACTCCCAGAAACGTCAGCCCTTTCCGACCATTTGCGAGGCATCGTTCCAACCGGATGCGGGAACTCTGCTGAACGCTCTCTTGCTCTCCGGGCAGTTCCCCGCTCCTCCTTCCACAGGCACATACAACGCTCAAGCCAGGGACGTTTGGTGTGATGAACGGTTGGCATTCAAGGGAGGAAATATGAAGGATGGTTTGGAGTTAAAAATAGACAAATACAGAAATAAAATAACGTTGGGAGTGTTTTCCAGCGCGGTGAAGACTTTGCACTGCGTCAGACTGGCAGAGTTCTTGGCCTGCAGGGTGCACCCAGCAACCGCCTGTAGAGCTCCATTACCTCAGTGTGGTTGAAATCAAATGGAACCACTCCAGTTACTACTTGAAGGGTGGAAAACTAAAACTTCCATTTATTTCTACCTTCATTTGCATATGTGAGTGGTATTAAGAATAAGCTGAGAAGCACTTAAAATATAGAATTTAAGGCTGCACTTTGAAATGTTTGGATATACATGGTCTAGAGTAGGGCCAGGAAACATACATATTTTAAGTATTACTGGCAGAAATAATCAGCTATGTTTGAAAACCTCTGCACATGACCACTTACTGAAATAGTCTATACCATTTCACCCAGTAAATTGCCTAAAACTAACTTGAGTATATCGAACCCACACATGTATACCATCATCATCATCATCATCATCATCATCATCATCATCATCACCATCATCATCATCATCATCTCCATTAATAAATGCAAAGTAAAAGCTAAGAGCCTCCACTCACTTGCTTTTTGTGCATCTCTCCTCTTTCTGCTATGAGAGACGCGTTCATCTCCATCTCTGCTGTGTTGTCCCTCTTTGATTCCTGAATCCTCCTAGAACCACTGGACTCTGGGGGAGAAAAACGTATCTCATTGCCAATAATTCACACGAGTATCTCTTGACAAGTTACAGCTCTGCTTCAGTTTTAAAAACCCTGCCTGTAATAACAGTTCTTTGTTGGTGTTGTGTTGTTGTTGCTGTTTTACCAAGATCACCATTCTCAGGTCCTTAATTTGAACATGTGTGGATTCCTATGCGATGCCACAGATGAGCTATCGAGGTGTTGTACACTTTCCTTTGATCATTCTCAATTCTCCAACCTTTGTATGTACATGCTATAAATGCTGTGCCAGCTGCTGAACTAATTGTGTTAGTTGTATCCCTCAGTATATCAATCCAATACATCGTAATGATAGCAACAAAAAGGGAATAGTTTCTAGATCTCCTCAAAGGGAACCTATGTTGCTTTGGAATTCTCCCTAATTTCCTTGTCCTTGTTTAAAAATGACCTCCTTAACAGTTAGTTCAAAGTGATTGCCCGGCTCATGTCCTCGTCTCTTCACAGTGATTCCCTGGTTCCAGGCTGGTGCTCCCCTCCCTATGTCTTCTCAGGTCTCTGGAAGAAACGGGGGCTCCTGGAAATCACTGGGAGCAGCCAAAATTCACTTACCACTCTTAGGTTCCATTTGCCAATATTTATTAAGCTATTTCCAGCATGAAAATTGTGTTATTTAGTTGTAAAGGAAAATTCTCACTTCTTAGATTAACTATGACAGGGGGAGAGAGTGAATGAATTGACGCTTCTTTTTAATAAAGTGACTGAATGTATGAGTCACCTTTACCATCCTGGGGACATGATATTTAATACCCACAATGTGAAAAAGGAGAGGTTTAAGCTGGCTTATGATTTCAGGGGATTCCTTCCACGATTACCTGGACCCAGAAAAGAAACATCATGGCAGAAGGGTATGGCGGAGAAAAATTGCTTAGATCATGGTAACAGGTAAGTACAGCACGGAAGGGTTGAGGGACCAGATGTAGACTCCAAAGTCAGACATCCATGACCCAGTCAGACATACCCAGAAATATGAATAACCCCTTACACCCCAAGCTCATCATGTTGACAAACTCAACAGCCTCAGCGATATATGTCAGAATCAAACTTATATTAAGTAGTCATCGATTGTTCCATATTGATCATGCCAAATCAGTACATTGACTTTAAACATCACACTTGCATGCACACACACAATGTGCTCACCTCTTTAAAAAAGTTGAAATAATAACATTCACATGAAGTTAAAAAGTACAGATACTCCCACATGTCCTCATCCAGTTTCTTTCAGTGGTTTCATTTATGTAACTGTAATGCAAGGTCAAAGCCAGAGCCAGTATTGGTACACTATGTATACATCTTTTAGAACCTTTTTCTTTTCTTTTTTACTTTTTCAGTAGTGGTAATTGAACCCAAGGCCTGTGTACTGATCTACACCCCCAGGCATTTTTTATTTTCAGATAGGTTCTCCCTAAGTCACTAAATTTTCCAGGCTTGGATGGAACTTGTGATCCTCCTGCCTCTGCCTCCCAGAATGCTGGGGTTACAGGTGTCCATTAACATACCTGGCTCTTTTAAGAGTCTTATTATTTGCTTCTACAATCAAAGTGTGTTTCTCAGAAACTAGAACTGACTGCATGGCAAAACCAATATGAGATCATATTTGTCCTTTGTGAACAAGTTGGTGGGTTCAGTCCAGTTGCTTTTGGTTTGCTTTGCATTGGGTTATGGTTCCCCAAATTAAAAATAAATCACTTGATTGATTTCACATGATACATATTATACTTTAGATATCTGTTACTATGTAATAAATGACTCCACAACAAGATGGCAACATGCATTTTCTTGCCAGTCCATAATGGAGCAGGGTTTCATGGGGACAGTCATTTCTCTCCTCTGAATCATCCCATCTCATCTGGGTGGCTCAAAGGTTAACACCACTTGGCATGGGTTAGAGCAGCCTCGGGGTGGGGACCCAGAATTGAGTGCAAGATTCCACATCACATACATGCTACGAAGATTCAAAGAGCCGAGTCTTATCAAGTGCATCTCTGCTGTCATCTGCTCCCTCTCAAGATGACCCTACAGGTCAGTTTGAGTGAAGCTTGGCTTCTCACATGTCAGCTCAGGGTCCCCAAGATCAGTGTGGAGAGAGGCAGACAGCATGGAGAGAGGTTGAGAAGCTGTACACATCTCATGACCCAGACTTGGAACTCACAGCCTCACTTCCTCAGTGTTGGATTCCGTGAGGCAGTCGCAGAGGCCCAGGCAATGCCTAGGTGAGGGGACTCAGACTCCACCTTTGGACAGGGAACTAGTAAAGTTTGAAAGAATTGTGAGACCACAAATGCCTCTGTGAAAATTTATACAGATACATAAATTAGTGAAAAGAATCTAAACCTGATGCTTCTTTTTAAAAAGCTACTGAAATATGTCACGATCAAGGCTTTATTAAGCAGCGACTTGAAATTCAGAATATTTGCCCTCTTGAATCAGCTCACTATGGCATTCATGATGGCAACACACACTTGCACACATACAGTAGCTATACATACATTCACAATCTACACATACCAGCACATGCATAGATATACCTATGCACACATATAAAGATGTACACACAGGCATTACTTTTTATTGCTATATTTTTATCTACACCCTTAGCCAAAGCATCCTCTCAGAAGTCAGAACTGACTCACTGGGTAACAATGAACCCAATATCAAGACAACTGTCCCCATATTCGGACCCAGACTGATGAGTTTGGCCAAATTATTTTTGGTTTGTCTATGAACTTGATTATGGGTCCCAAGAGGAGGAACTGAAATCATCAAACGAATTTCACGTGGTTTACAAAGAAGAGCACAGTACTACAATAAAAAGGCTTGTGATTAGTTTACCAAGCCCTCCAGTTCCATGTAAACGACCTGTGATAAATGACTGGTCAGCCAAAAGAACAGAAATCATGTATTATTTCCACAGTATGAAGTAAAATGCCATTTGTATTTGTCATTGCTCTGAAAGAAGACAGTAGAACGTGTAGGACAAAACTTTCTGGAAACACATAAATGGATTTCTTAGTAAAATACACAGGCACATATGATATGTAAGACTTTACCAGGTTCTGGATTATCACTATTGACTTGTAGATGATGTTAGTATGCTACAATCCATGTAATGAACGTACACAGAAATTTATAAGAGCCCTAAATCCAAACATATTTAAACAGGTGAAGATCTTCCATTTTCCTTTGGAATTCTCATCCTAGATACCGAGAAATCACACATTACAATCAAAGATTTATCATGACACGTATAATTATTTTGCATTCTTCTGCTTTGTTTTTCTTTTTCTGTTAGCTTCCCTGGACAAAAGGTGAGTGGATTAAACAGTTGGAGGGAATTTGTCTTACCTAATACATTCATGAATTGTAGGTCAGCCCTGTTTAGAGAGAAGTGAAGTAGTCACAATGAAAATGAAACATTTAAATATAATAATCTTTTATAACCCAAGACTATCCATATGAATTTGCCATTAAAGATTCCAGATATCTGCTGTTTATCGTTTTTTGAGTATTTGCTATATGCAGGTACTGGGTTGATCACAATAGGTAACTTTGTTTCTTTGGTATTGACAAATGTCTATGCAGCTGGCATCATTGTTTGTGTTTTACAAGTAAAAAAACTGTATTTCCTACAACCTGAGTAGCCAGCATCCCAAAACCATAAAGCTGGGTTAAAACCCAGGCCCCACAGCCACTCAACCATCGCTTTTCCCTATTGAGAGCACCGCTCTTTCCAGAGGCTAAATGTACAAAGAAAGCAGTGAGTTTGAGGGGCTGTGGGAAGAGGCCTGGTAGAGCGTGATCTAATCAAGCCTGGAGCCTCATGAGGAGGATAAGTAAAGACTTGGGAGGAAATTTCACTGGATCTAATGAGGGAGGGTCCCTGGGCCCTGGAAAGAAGCTGGTTCTGGGAAATTTCCACACTAGACAAACTGGGGAATCATTATGTTTCCAGATGACTGGCAAAGGATTCCAGTTCTAACTGTCTCCATTTGGCTTCCTCAGTCACTGGCTGAGCTGGGGCTGCTCTCAAGAAAGATACAAGAGTAAAATATGAAGTGAGACAGAGAAGGAACATAAAATATCATCAGTGAAGGGAACTGGGTGTAATTCAGGGAAGAGACAGTAGCTCCAAAGACACAGTGTCAAGAAAAAAAAAAATGATTCAAACAAGCTGCTTCAGGGTTGGAACAGCAGACACTTTCCTTACAACACATTCCCAGAGACTTTTTCTTGTGTGCCCAAAGGCACACCTGTGGCTGGAGTCTTTGCGGCTGCATATGTGGGGGTAAATTATAGCAGTTCTTATAATCAGATGATGTAGGTTACTTAGCAGGGGGTGGGTGGCACTGTTCACCCTGCTTTCTCTCCTGTGGGACTACAGTTCTCTAACTTTGCTCACCTAGACTGTTTGTTTGTTTGTTTGTTTTTGTTTTGTTGTTTTAATCTACTTTTCTCCAGACTCCCTAGTAGGGTTGTTATGGTTGGGCTCTTAAATATCTCCCAAAGGGCTTATGTGATAAAGGCCTGGTCACCAGCCTATGGCACTGTTGGGAAGTGGTGGAACCTTTAAGATGTGGCCTAGTTGGAGGTCATGGGGGGAGGTGCCCTTGAAAGGGACATGGGGACCCTAGTCCCTCGCCCCTCTCTCTTTGCTTTCTGGCTACCCTGAGGTAAGCACCTCTTCCACTACCCTGTCCCAGTGTCCTGTGCTGCTGCAGGCCTGAAGGCAATTATGCCAAATACTCACAGACTGAAAACTCTGACATCATGAGCCCCAATAAACTTTCCTCCTTTAAGTTGATTTTTCTCTAGTATTTTTTTTCACAATGATGCTTCTCAAAATTTAATGTCCTTATGAATTACTTAAGAAGTTGTTAAAGCCCAGGTTCTTATTTAGTAAGTCTGGGTTGGAATCTAAGCAGCTGTATTTTTAACAAGTCCCCTGCAT